CCCTACCAACTGCCCAGCTGAGAATTCCACTGCACTGAGCATGTGCAGGGGGTACCAGTAGCACTGTCCCACCCAACACGTCTCGAAGCACCCAGACAGTAATGTTTGGCCACCTCACATTCTCCAGGGGCACCAAAGGACTTGCTGGACCAGATGGTAAGCATCTCAGTACCAGTCAGCCTAGTGCAACCTGAAGAGTAGGAGGTGGTCCCCATCTTCACACCTCCGGGGCAGGGAGGGGGGGCTCTGACACCTTCCCCATTCTCCTGAGCCCAGGGAGACATCTGAGCGCCAAGGCCAGGCAAACAGGTCTGTGCTGCCCAAGCTGGCAGCTAAGTTCTAGCAGTCAGGACCAAGTGACAGACACTCCACTGTCTTTGATGGTGCTGCCCCAAGACTTTAGGCCAGGGCTGACTTTCTTCTGAGAAGGGGCTCCTCCTGGCCAGAGTGACTTGTGGACTCAGGAAAGAGCCTGGCCGGGGGGAGGGTGGGGGTCAGAGTGTATGGGGTTTCTGAATGTCCGAGCAGACAGTGGGGATCACGCCTTGCTGCTTAGCCAGGCTGGGCAGCAGCTCCCTCATTCACCTCCTGAACACTGCCCGGGGGAGCAGGATGGTGACAGCCTGCCAAGGCCACCGCTGGCCAGATAAGGCCACCAAAGGCTGTACATGTGTAGGCATTGCAGGAAAAAAAAGCTGGTGACAGTGGACAAGGCCCGTGAAGGTGGCAAAGGCCACGAAGGCAGGGCGAGGCTCATGACCTGGACAAGGCCCGAGAGAATAAACGAAGGCAGTGCCGGGGGCGGGGGGGGGGGGAGACCGAGGGGGGCACCAGGCTGGTGACGGCAGGACTGGGCGTCAGGGGTACAGGGCCGGTGACGAGGGACAGGGCAGATGACACAGGTAAGCACGGCGGGGCCGAAGCCGGGACTCACCGCGGCGCCTCCGCCCGCTGCGCTGCGCCCCGCTTCCGCCGCCGCTCTAGTCCCCGCCTCCGCGTCTCCACCGAGGAGCCAGGCTCGACGCCCTGAGCCCCGAGGCATCGATGGCCACTTCTCTTGCGCCTGCGCCTCGGGCTCCGAGTCGGGGCCGGCGTTTCTCTATGCGCCTGCGCGCGCTAGTGCTCTGGCGCTCCTAGAGCAGTGCTTGGTCCTGGCTCCTGGAAAGAGCGGCAGCCACGAGCCTGGCCCAGCTGGACGGGTTCGAGTACAAGTAGCTTTATGAGCACGTTGTCGTTGGCTGTGGGGATAAGACCGGTTACTGGCGTGCCAAGGGTTGAGCACTGACCTCAAGTGGAAATCGGGGTGCAGAAGTCAACTCAGACTTTGCACTGGGGACACAATGCCATGCTCCTGTCAAGGCCAGGTTCTAGGACGGTCCCTAGCTTGGGGTAGGGGTTCAGTAAGCGGAAGACAGATGTGGACTTCCTGGGCTGTGCTTCCTGTGGCACTGGACAGTGGACTCTGACCTGGGACAGTGCAGCCCTCCACCTCCCTGTCCTGTTACCGGCTGTGCGTGACAGGACCGCCATGCTGTCCCCTGGGGCAGTGTTATTCTTCATCCTGCTCTTGACAACCAGTTCACTGGGCCAAAGGGCTCGAAAGCCCTCTGGGTCTACATCCCCCATCAGCACCATCCAGGCCCAGGCCAATTTCAATGCTCAGCAGGTAAAAGCTGGGAGTGAGTGGGGGTAGGTAAAGGAGCAGCTTGGCAGGATTGGCTTGGGGTGCCCGTTCCCTCAGCCAGTCCTGAGCCCTCCCGATCCACTGCCAGTTTGCAGGGACGTGGCTCCTTGTGGCTGTGGGCTCTGCATGCCGCTTTCTTCAGGAGCAGGGCCACCGGGCCGAGGCCACCACATTGCACACAGCTCCCCAGGGTACAGCTATGGTCGTCAGCACCTTCCGAAAACTGTGAGTCCCAGTGCGGCCTCCACCTGCACCCCAGCCCCTGAGCCCACCTTACCCTGTCCTCTTGACCCCAAGCCTCACCCCTAGCTCCTCTGTGGCCTGGGTAGGAATCCCATATGGCCCCACCTGGGTTGGAATTCCTAGAGCCTGAGTGGCGCTTTATACCATACCTTCTTCCCTCCCCAGAGATGGGATCTGTTGGCAGATACGCCAACTCTTTGGAGACACAGGGGTCCCCGGCCGCTTCTTGCTCCGAGGTGAGGCAAGGGCATCACACAAGAGGGTGCAGGGCTGGAGGCAGGGGGTGAGGAGCTGACGTGCGGCCGCTGTGGCTCTGCCTCATCCCCAGGGACCCGTGGGCCAGTGCATGTGGTTGTCGCCGAGACTGACTACCAGAGCTTTGCCATCCTGTATCTGGAGAAGGCGAGGAAGCTGACTGTGAAACTCTATGGTGCGTGCTAATTCGGCTTCCACACATGACCCTGTGCTTTGCACCCTGGATTGCTGTCCTGATGGGCTGGGTGACCCCAGATGGGCACACGCACCCTCCCCATTCCCTTTCTATCCAGATACTCTCAGTAGCAGGCACCCTGGAAGGAGCAGCTACAGGTGTGCTAGTGTGGGGATCAGATGGGGCAGGGACAGACAGCTGACCTGGCTGTGTCCTGGGTCCATCGCCCTGTTGAAACCACAGGAACTCTGTCTATCCCACAGCCCGCTCACTACCCGTGAGTGACTCTGTCCTGAGTGTGTTTGAGCGGCGAGTCAGAGAAGCCAACCTGACGGAACACCAGATCTTTTTCTTTCCCAAGTATGGTGAGTGTCCCCAGCCCAGTGCCCCTCCCTGGCTGACGCCCTGCCCCCCCTTACTACTGCCTGGGCCCCTAGGTTTCTGCGAGACTGCGGACCAGTTCCACATCCTGAATGGTGAGCGGTGGGTGAGCAGGGGGGAGCAGCAGGCTTGGGGTCAGGGTCCTTTCTGCCCCTGCTAAGGCTTGTGTCTGCTGCAGAGGTTCGGAGATGAGGCCGCCTGGCGGAGAAGCTGTGGACAGTGGCCTGCCGCCCTCAGAGAGTTCTGAGCACCCTGAACTCGCTCTTGGAGTCTCTCCTGTCTGTCCCCAGGAGCAACCCTTCACACAGCTCTGCTGTTCTCGGGCTTCTCAGTAAACATCAGACGTGGCCCTGGGTCTTTTCTGTCAGCCTGAATGGGAGCTCCACCTGGCCAATGTGGGAAGGGAAGGCAACTTGTCCCCTGGCTATTTGAGGATTCTGCCATAGGGAGGTGGGGTTGGAAACAGCTTCTTCTGCCTAGGAGCAAGAGTCCCTGCCCTCCCTGAGTCTGCTTCCTCTCAGCAGTGAAGGCTGAGATGCTTTCCTTCCCTGCCTCCTCCATTCCAGCCCACTGTGCTGGCTTCGCGCCCATGGCCGGTGGGACTCAGAGCCCTGCCTAGGGTACCTTCTCTGGAAAGGGACACAGGCCTTCTAACAAGTCCTCTAGGCCCCTCCTGACCCTTGACCCTGGAGGCTAAAGAACTATAGTTCCAGGGGCACTTGCCAGGAAGATACCAGCGTGGGTTTAAGGGAGCAGTTGGAGCACATACAGTGGAAAGCTGTACTCCAGGAACAGGGAGCAGGCAGCCTGCTTCATGGACCAGTTAGGGGTGAGCATGGGGCTCTCAACATGTGGGGCGAACCCCTGATACAGCTGTTCCCCAGCAACTGCTACCCAGACTGTAGTCAAGGTTACCAGTCACAGAAGCAAGTTGTGCACATCCCCATAAGGGAGGAGTTGGGTCTTTCTAGACAGGAGCACCGTTCTTTCCAGACCTGGGATGGTTTGCTTGGCTCCAAAGGCCAGGGCTGGAGTTCAGGGAACTGGGCATCAACCCAGACATGGCTGGGCTTGCCTCTGCTCCTGCCTTGCTGGTGGCCTGATGCTTCCCAGTGTTCATTCGATGAACATTTCTCAAGTGCCCCAGGCCCTGGAGACACAAAGTAGTCAAGTCCTTGCTCCTGGGAGCTTAAAGTCCAGGCTCAGCCATCTATTGATGATAGGAAGGCAGAGGTGGGCACTCCCCTAGGCTCCCAGCCCGCCATGTCCTCCCCTCTTGCAGCCCCAGGACACCCCAAGTGAGCTGTCGTACCAGCAAGACTGCTGTCTGATTCCTAGAGCCAAGTCAGGGGCAGTCTTGTCTGCTGGCCTAATTTGGAGGAGGGAGAGCTGTAGCAGTGGGGTGCGTGGCTGCTCTTGGGGCCAGAACTGCCCCAGAAGAGGCTCTGGGGTCTCTGGGCAGCTGGACTTTGGGAGGGCAGGACAACAGACTGGAGGGAAAGAGGACCACCAAGAGCCTTGGAAGGAAGAATTTCAGGAGACTATCCTACCCACAAAAAAATAGAGCTCATGGGAGCACCCTGGTTTTCGGGGCCTGGCCTTGGCCTCACTGCCTGGCCCCAGGAACACCTTTTCCTTCTGGTCTTGTGTTCCCTAACAGAAAGTGATGGTCCCTCTCTGGTAGGAGTTGAGCTCACATGGCCAGGGTCCAGGCCTCTGAATCTCTGCCTTGTTTTCTGTGGGTCTGGATGGGCTGAGCCTGGACCATGAAGCCATTAGTTTTTGTGCCAACCTGAGGACACAGAGCTCTAGAACTGACATATTTTAGTTTCATAAAAGTGTTTCAAATTAGCTCCAGGTAAATTTGAAAATTTTAGGTAGAATAATAATAATAGCTATATCACACACACACAGAGTGGTGTGTGTGTGTGTGTGTGTGTGTGTGTGTGTGTGTGTGTGTGCCTGACATGGGTTGGGGGATGCTTGTGGTGGTCAGGGGGGCAGCTTACAGGAGTTGGTTCTCTCCTTCCACCTGTAATAGATTCTGGGGATCAAACTCAGAATGTCAGCCTTAGAGACAAGTATCTTTTCCTGATGAGCCATCTCACTGGCCCGTGCATATCTTTTTTATTTTAAAATATTTCAGGCCGGGCGGTGGTGGCACACGCCTTTAATCCCAGCACCCGGGAGGCAGAGCCAGGCGGATCTCTGTGAGTTCGAGGCCAGCCTGGGCTACCAAGTGAGTTCCAGGAAAGGCACAAAGCTACACAGAGAAACCCTGTCTCGAAAAACAAACAAACAAAAAAAAAAAAAATTTCTTGTAGGGGCTGGAGAGGTGGCTTAGTGAGCAAGGATGCTTGCGACTCAATATGCAGACATGAGTTTGGATCTCTGGCATGGCCAGTCCTTCCTCCCCACCCCCAGCACCGAAGGGAGGGGACACAGACAAGAGGGTTATGAAGCTTGCTGCAGTCCAGCATAGTTCTGGTTCAGAGAGAACCCTGTCTCAATGAAATAAGCTCTGTGTGCTTGCACAGCCACATACACACATGTGCATATATATAATACATACACATATTCATACACAGGTGTTATAATTTGTATATAACCTTTGAATTCTAGTAGGTAATGTATAATATCTAAGAAGAAACAACTTTAAAAACCTGTAGAAGCCACTATGTAATTGACCATCTTGCCTGGGACCACAGGAATAGAGGGCCTGGAGGACCTACAGAGCAGGTGACCTGTCCTGCCTTGCCTGGACGTGAGGGGCTGTGCCCCTTCTCCGCAGGCAGGAAGCAGCAGCAGGTCACCTGCCCTTCCTGTCCACCCAGATGCTCTATGGACAGGTAGCCCCGTGAATATGAAGATGGTTTACAGCCCTCTCAGGGGCCTCCTGCCACTCAAGACAGTGTCCTGGGAAAGAATTCTGGGGTGAGGGATGTGAGCAGAGGGCAGCGCTCAGGAGTCTTCCCGGAGAGGGGAGACAGGGCAGAGGGGCGTTTTGCTCTGACTGTCCCTATTGGGAGGAAGGATGGAGGCAGCTGAGGAGGACGAGGAGGACGGTGGGCAGGTAGAAGGAAGAAAGAGAGCAAGCGAGTGAGCGAGAGGTCCCGGATGGGGAGGAGGCACGGGAGAAGGAGCAGGAGGGCCCTGCTCCCAGGGTGGCAGGGGCTGCCGGTGGCATGGTCTCCACCCTGAGCTGTCTGCTTCTCCAAGCTTTGCGTGATCTCTGCCATCACCTGCCGCCTCCCCCCAACCCTGGTCTTGTAGAAGGCCCTGGTCAGTTTCAGGACACCCCACAGGCCCTCTTCAGTCCCAAGATAACAGGGTTGTTTAGTTGCTGTAAATCTAGTGTGGCACCCTGGGCATTGGCTGGAGGATCCACCAATCACATCAAAGGTAGGAAGAGCTGCCCAGCCTTCCTTTCAGGACCGTCTTGATGAGATGGGGTGAAACAGCCCCCAAGACCTAGGAAAGAGCAAAGCCAGAACACTTCTTAGGGCCCTGCCTCACCGTGGGGCTTATCTCCTAAGGACAAGCAGGCCTGGGAAGGCCTGGTCCACCAAGGGCCCTGCTTGGGCTGGGTCTGGAGGCCTGGTCTGGCCTTGCTCTGCTCCCCAAGTCTTCTAAGTGTCCTGCCCTGCAGAGAAGACCACACAGGAGAGAACAGGCCAAGGTGGCACTGAACCTCCTTCAGGAAGCTTGGGCTGGAACGACCTCCACTGCGTTTGCACAACTGTCTCTCGAGTACGGCCTGTGACCAGGGAGAGCACAGCGCCTACCTCTCACGGCCTCTAGCAGGATCCTCCCCAGGATCCCGCTCTATTGCACCTTGCAACTATAGGACCCCACCTCCTTGGGGACCCGCTTCCATAGAGCTCCAGTCTTGTAGGGCCTTGCTCCCATGGGGGTCTACCCCTATAGGGTCCTGCTCTTAGAGAATGGGACTCGGAAAAGCCCTGCTCCACGGTGCCTGCTCTCATAAGAGCCCCGCTCGCTCCCACGTTGTCCTTCCCCCAGCTCCTCCCTCCCCTCTGCAGGGAAGGTCCCTTTGAAGTAGCCCCAGGCCTCCTTCCCTGGCCCTGGTGTCCTTAGGCTGCGCTGGTTTTAGCACATGAGGGGCTAGGGAACTGCTTGGGGGCTAGAAGTCCATTTCCATGGGTAAGAAGCTGTGGACACCAGGGACAGTCACGCTCCCTGCCTAGAACACGTAGTTCTTTGGCGTGAAGGACAGACGGGGTGGACATGGGCAAGTTTCTGACCCACTTGTGGGGACATTTAGAGCAGGTGTTTGGAGTCACAAGACGGACCCAGCAGGCTTTCTTTTTCTTGGCTAGGACCCAAGAGACCCTGGCAGGTGTTTAGGATGTAAGGAGGGTCAGCCCTGCCCCCTCCCACACCCACCTGCCATACTTCCCAGGGAGGAGCATTGGCCAGGTGGGCCATGAAGGAACAGGTTTCTGAGCAAGCTTCACTAATAGCCACTCCTCAGTCAGGCATGTCCTTCTGGAGCCTGGTCGCTGCTGGGATGGGCCCTTGGTGGGCTCTGTGGCTGATCCTTACCCTTCCCCAAATCCCGGAGGGCCAGGCTCCAGTCAAGCCTCAAGGCTTTTCCGAGCTGACGAGCTTCGAGAATGACAAGGTACAGGGCTTTCAAAGCAGAAGACACAGGTCGCAGTTGGCCGGGGTCCTGGCTTGTGGAGGGAAGGTGTATGCAGGCCCGTGGGCACTACCCAGGGAGGCCAGGGCAAAACCTGAACCCAGAGCTCCTGAACGAGCCCGTGACCTCCCTGAGAAAAGGACACAGGACCATGTGTACTGCCTGTGTTTGCACGAATCGCTCCCTCTATGAAGGGAGACAAATAGAGGCTTGGGAAGACCACCCGGCTACTGTCCAAGGCCACCATCTACCTGAGAGATTAAAAGCAGGTTCAGAGTTCTGCCCATGTCATTGATGCAGACCTGGCCTGAAGTTGCCTCCTGAGGAGGGGTCCTGGCTGGCTGGGGGCTGCCCAGGGTAGTGTGGGAAGGGGCTAGCTGTGCCCATCACCAGCCATGCAGTTTCAGGGAGAATGGTTTGTCCTTGGATTGGCGGGCAACGCCTACAAGAGAGAGCACCGGGACTTGCTGAATCCCTACATCACACTGTTTGAGCCAAAAGACAACAGTAATTTTCAGGTGACCAACACCATGACTCGGTGAGTGGGGCGTCTCTGCTCTCCAAGCAGTTCCAGGAGCCAACTGTGGGTTGAGGAAACACATCTAGAGACCATGTCAGGCACAGCCTACTTCATGACCATTGCTAAAGCCCAACCCAGTGACGGGCTGAGTACAAGAGGGGAGGCATGTGGTGAGTCACTCTGGAGAGAGACGGCTGATGGGTCTTCGGCACTCGTGTGTGGTCAGGGACCTGTCCTGGTTCCGACTGTCCTGCCTCAATCTCCTGGGCAGGCTCTTATTTTACAGTCTTACCAGTGACAGGCAGCCCCTACCTGAAGTCTGTTCTTGGCCCTTTCTGGAGTTTGTTGGCTTGGGGGCCAGTGGAAGTGAGCTACTGATACCCAGAAACTTTCTTTTTGACATGGCAAGTCCCTGTGGATTTGAGGACCGGTGCTTGGGTGAGCAGGAGTCACTGAGCCAGGAAGGGTACAGAGTAACTAAAAGGACCCCAGAGCTGATGCCTGGGGAGGTGGGGAGGGCTCCGGGCCTCTGCAGCCTTCTGGGGTATAGGCCCCTCCAAATAAATAGCTGATTTTTTTTTCAAGACAGGGTTTCTCTGTGTAGCTTTGCACCTTTCCTGGGACTCACTTGGTAGTCCAGGCTGGCCTCGAACTCACAGAGATCCGCCTGGCTCTGCCTCCCGAGTGCTGGGATTAAAGGCGTGTGCCACCACCGCCCGGCTGATTTTTTTTTTTTTTAATGGTCCACCAGGGTGAGCCTGGCTGGCTTCCTTAGCCCTCTGCCCCACCCCCCCTCCTGCCCCCCCACCCCCCAACCCCGCCTATCCCTCCCACAGGGGCAAGCGCTGTGACACTTGGTCCTATACCCTGACCCCAGCATCCAAGCCTGGGCAGTTCACCATGGAAAACCAAGGTAAGTGCGGCGTGAGTGGGAGGACCCAGCCCCCTGGGGAACCTTACATGTGTGCCCCTCTGGGTCAGGAGCAGACAGAGAAGATGTGCAGGTGATCGAGACAGACTATACCAAGTTCGCCCTGGTGCTGTCCCTCAGGACAACAAGCAGCCAGACCATCACCAGGGTCAGCCTTCTGGGTGAGCCCCTGCTTCCCTGGGCCCCTGTGCAGAACACTGGTCAGGGTGGTGCTTCCTGACTTTGGGATGGCTTGAGGGCAAATACCATGACCAAGTGCTGAGAGCCACTCTGTGCTCATCTGGCCACAGGTAGAACCTGGAGGCTTCCTCATAAGACGATAGACAGGTTCATCTGCCTGACCAGAGCCCAGAACCTCACCAAGAATAACTTCATCTTCCCTGATGTGACCGGTAATGAGTTTGCACGCAGTGCATGATAGGAAAGGGAGATGGGATCTGGAGACAATGGTGGTACCTTCCCGGCCTTCACAAGTCCAATGGCCCCTCTCCAGGCAGGCACTGCAGAGCCTCAGGGGGCATGTATGGGGTATTGTGGTCCCCGAGTCTGAACCCAAGTCTTGTTCACAGAGTTTAGTCTGAATCAGAAGAGAGGTGTTCGTGGCTCTTATCTGAGTCCCAGGCCACTTCTTCCAAACCCTGGTCCTTATCCGAGGCTGCCCCCTCCCCACACTGGTTCTCCTGTCATGGGAGGATAGTTCCCTGTTCACAGGAGACTGGAGTTTATTCAGGGAAGTCCTTGAATGTGGACAGCCTATTTCTAGCAGGAAAGTCTCTTTTTTGTTTGTTTGTTTGTTTGTTTGTTTTTTCGAGACAGGGTTTCTCTGTGTAGCTTTGCGCCTTTCCTGGCATTCACTTGGTAGCCCAGGCTGGCCTCGAACTCACAGAGATCCACCTGCCTCTGCCTCCCGAGTGCTGGGATTAAAGGCGTGCGCCACCACCGTCTGGCCCCAGGAAAGTCTCTAAGAGCCCAAGGTCAAGGGGCTTCAGAGCCGAGCCCCATCATCAGCCTCACTCCTCTCATGAATGGATCAGGACCCCCAACCCCCACCCTGTCCAAGGACCTTCCCCATCATACCCCCTCCAGTGCATACCTGCCCAGCCACATTCGCACACCTGAGCATGTGCCCACAAACATGCACTCAGGCACATGCTCACACACACCTGCACGCGCACGCACACACACACACACACACACACACACACACACACACACACACAAACACACATTCACCTTGCTCCCTTGTCTTTTTGAGATAGGGTCTTGAGGTGAAGCCCAGGCTGGTCTGGCAATCACGAGTCTCTTGCTTTAGTCTCCCAGATGCTGGTATTTTAGGCCTGTGTCACCACACCTGGGTCATATCCCATACAACATGCATTTGGGATCACAAACATGTTTGCACTAACCATAACACTCACGGTGCCATACCACCAGATCTACCACAAATCTAGGATCCGGCGGGGACAGGCAGGGCTATGGAGGGGCTTCTGGAGGAGCCCAGACTGGTGACGGAGGTGCACTCGGAGGGGCATGCCTCCTAAGGCCTTTCCCTGGAGCCATTTCTGGTCTCATCCCCTGCCCAACTCCCAGTCTACCTGCTTTCCATCCCTCCTAAGTCTCTCCCCTGCTGCTCTTCCTTATCCGCCATCCCGACACTGTCTGTCTCCACCCCATTAGACTGGCTACCTGATCCAGACATCTGCTGAAGAGCGAATGGTTCCGGCCAGTACAGCCTCAGCCTGCCTCTACTCTCCACACAAATAAACACACTGCCTATGACTCCAGAATGTGACCACTGTGACAAGGGGTGGGTGAGAGGCAAGAACACGGGCCTCTGATCCTCTGAGCACCCCCAGACTGGCTTCTCAACCCCCACAACTAGATTCCACACCTCCCCTGACTCCCAGCTGTGTGAAATCGGGGCCACACCTGCACCTAGCAGAGCTCTGGGGCCCACATGATGGGGTGGGGTAGGCCCAGGGCATGCCCTTGGACCACTGGTTCGCAGGTGGCAGGCAGGAACAGTCAGACCCCAGAGCAGAAGGAAGCCTTGATGCTGATGTCCCCGGCTGGAGAAAGGACAGGGTATGTCTTCTTCCTATGGGATGTGGAGACAACATTTCTAGGCCTGATGGCCATTCTAGAAAAGCCATTCAGAAATAGAGAGGCACAGGGGGCCCAAAGCAATGGACCCAGAACTAAGCAACCCAGCTCCAAATGCACCCCTCTAAAGAGGTTGTCAGTACGATGTCCACCTTACCCAGTCCACAACAGCAGCCACTGTTTGACCCTACCCATACCTAAGCCTATCTCGGCCCCAACAGACAGGCAAAGCAGGTCATGACCCAAAACCATCCATGGAGATGACTCCATAATCTTTGGCCTTGATAGAGAGCAAATAACATATAGAGATAGCCCACTGGATTTAACCTTTACCCTCCTGGAAATGCTCTACTGCTCGGGAGGGTGGTGCAAGACTTGGGAGGGGTGTTTAGAACCCCTCGGATGGCAGACCTCCCCATCCCATGGCCTCATGCCCACTTCCTTCCATTGTACAGAAACCAAGCACATTCTGGAACAGGGCTGGGCCACCGTAGGTACAGACCTGGAGCCTGCTGACACCAATAAGACCAACCCCCATTCTGGTATATAATTGTATATCGGACCCCCAAATCAAACTCTACAAGGGAGGCATGGTCTCTTTTATCCTCAATTGTATCCCAGATGTATCCAAGATGGCACCTCTTGGAGAAAGTGACAGACACCTATCTTACTGTATCGGCTGGCTGGATCATGCATGGACAGATGGGTGGCTGACTGGAGGGCGGTAGATGGGTAAATGGATAGGTGTGTAGATGGACAGATGGATGAATGGATGAACTGGGATCTCGGACGAGATAGAAAGCAGAAAGTGAGCTGAACGCTATCGTTCATCCCTCTAGTCCCTCCGTACGGTGGGTGCAATGCAATCAGCTGCCTCGGGTTCCTGCTACCGTTCTTCCTCGCCATGATGGATGTACTCCCTAGAGCTGGAACTGAGGTGACCCTGTCCTCTGAGAGGCTGCTGCTCGCTGGCTGCTTTGTCTCACAGATGAGAAAAGCAATGACACAGGCCCACGGAATGCCAGAGCAGGCTCAGCCGCCATTTCTGTCAACCAAGCCCTCCTTGTAGGGAAGGGAGTTTGACCACCATGGGACAGGTGTCAGAAGAGGCACCCATGTGCCCATGCCGGAGGGTTCCGATGCAGCCACAATCACCAGAGCCTGACCTAGCTAGGCTGCAGTGGCAGAGGGTGCTGAATCCCGACGTAAGAGCAGCGTGGGCTCTGTTCTCACCCTACAACGGCGGCATCCACAGGGCTACGGAGCTCCTGACAGAGAGTCCCCCTTTGTGGCTACACATCCCTGAAGCTGCAGTGAGGTTGCTCTTTCCATATTAGGAACTGAGGCACCAGGACATTCTCCCGCTAACAGGAGGTCTGATCCTCCAAAGACCCATTATAATACCATTTCTAATCGTGATTTTCACACTCGCTTTCGTAGGAACCATGGGGGAAATGCCCTAAAAAGAGATGGATCTCACCATGATTTGATAGGAAAGGGGTCACTTACAACAATATGCTACCCACCTCAGAAATATTTTTTAAGAACTTTAAAATCCACACCACAGGACCCCCAGGCAAGTTTCTCGTCTTCTGGCAGCAACAGCAGCCCATTCCCGTCGTCTTTGGAATGTTTGCTTTAAAAAAAAAAATCCTCTGTAAACTGTCTCTCAAGAATGAGGGTCTCCCATAACAGGTGGACCAGCCTAGCCATTGGCCATGAATTGGACAAAGACCAGGAGAAGAAGCCCCAGAAAAGCCAAAGGAGGAAATGGCAGAGCTCAGACCTAACGAGGATGAGAATCTGCAGAGGTGGAGTCTCACCTGTCAGTTTCTGGGGGGAAAAATGTACTGGGGAGATAGATGGAGCAGAGAAGAAGGGTTGTCATAACAGCCTGCCCCTGAGGGCCACAGACTGGCACCATCACCACAGAGCACTGAAGTGCGCACATGCGTGCGTGCGTGCGTGCGTGCGTGCGTGCGTGCGTGCGTGCGTGCGTGTGTGTGTGTGTGTGTGTGTGTGTGTGTTGCATGTCTCTCTCAGCCTGAAGCACACATTTGAACAGCCACAGAGCTTTAACTCCAGAGAGAGGCAGTGATCCCTCACACAGTTTGGGGGTTCGTGGTTTGACCTGTATCCCCGGCTGATTCCGCATCAATGTGCAGGAGACAGTGTCTAGGGCGGGGTATGGCAGACGGCATGCAGAGGTCACAGGAGCTGCTCGGCCTCCAGTCTCCGTAACCTTCATTTCACATTCTTTTCCTCTCAAACTCAGTTCCACGCAACATTTTGGAGAAGTGGGAAGCTGCAGGCCAGCCTCCAAATTAGTTCCACATGGCCTCTGCCCCAGCCGGAGCCCCCGTGACACTGTTTGTTTGACCTTTAGTGATGCTAAGGCCTCACGTGTGCTAGTCATGTGCTCGATACTGAGCTACCCGTAACCCCTCATAAGGTCGTAATTTCCAGAAGACCTTACCTTCACTGACCTTAAATTTGGGTTGTTGGTGTCCTGTAACCTTCACTAGTAGGTATGGAGGTACAAAAGGTGGCCCAGGGACCTCCACAGTGAGCATCCTCTCCTGTTCTGAAGCAGAAACCCAACTTCCTCTTGGTGATGAGAGATGAGTCCCTCTAGCCAAGATGATGATCCCCCTTTCTGCTGGTCAGCTCAGTGGTAGGAAGACCCCAAACAGTCATATGGGTCTTCACATCCCTGTGTACTCAGGGAAACGGAGCTGAAACTAGCTGACCGGACAGGAAACAAACTCTCGTGAGTAGGTGATGAAGTGGGAGGGCCTTCCCACACCAGTTGGCTCCCCAGCTCCTGGAATCCTGCAGTGGGGAGATAGCCTTTGACCATTCCCCCTGCTCTTAAAACAGAGCAGCCAGGCTATCGCAGCTTCAGGGAACTGCCCTCTGCATCTCCCAGGACAGCCTCTGGTGAGATGGAGATGCCATAGCCGTGCCCCCTCGCACCCCACCCCCCTCTTGTCTGTGCAGTCTTGGAAGACAGGAGCAATGCCTTGCTGAGTGCGGGGACAGTTTCCCAGAGGCCTCCTGGAGCACGAGTGTTGCCTCGATGCCTCAGCCTGCTTGCTCCTCCCCACAGAGCCCTCCACGCCCTTGCTAGTCATGGATATGGGGGACACAGGAAAAGCAGAGGCTCCCTCCCATCCCACTATGGAGGGGGCCATGTGTGTGAGATGCAAGAGGGAAGTCCTCTCCGCTTCTGCTCCTCTCGGGCTTCCAAGGGGTCAGCACGCAGAGGCGAGTGTGCAGGGGCTAGGCTGCAGCCAGAATCACGCAGGGGTCGGTGCAAGAGCCGGTGTGTACCAGATGGCCAGCAGTGGTCAGAGTGCAGGGCGTAGTGCAATATCGGCACGGGGGTTGGAGGGTAAGGCACATGGGTCAGTGTGGGGGCTGGGAACGTTGGAGTCTCGTCTGGATCCTCGGCTGGATGTGGGTGAGAATGGGGCTTGGGTGTTGCCACCAAATGAGGGTGGGCTCCTTCTAGGTTCCAGTTCTAGACCCTGCGTTAGAAGCTGCCTAACTCTGCCTGGACAACACACCCAGCCTTTAAGCCCTGCCAAGTGGTCACATAAGTCTCTTTACTTTGGCCTGTGAGCAGCCCCGCCCATCACCACCTGGGCCTGCTGGGCCTGGACCCGCCTGCTGGGCTTCAGAGCTGAGCCTGCAGCTCGCTGGAAGTGAAATGGGATCAGCTGGACCAGGACCAGGCCTGTGAGCTGCCCCTCCCGCCGCCACCTGGGCCTGCTGGGCCTGGACCAGCCTGCTGGGCTTCAGAGCTGAGTCCGCAGTTTCCTGGAGGTGGAAGGGAGCAGCGAGACAGGGGACTGGACATGTGACCAGTCCCTCAAGACCCTCCCTCCAGACACTTCTACTCTATCCCTCCCTCTGGCTCCTAAGACCTCCAGGCCCTCCAGGTCTTACACCTACCCCTTCCCCAGGGGAACTACTTTTCCTGGTACTACCCTTGTCCTGTCCCCTCTGAATTCGTCTTAGAGTTATCCCATGTGTCTCACACCCTGAAGCCCCCTGGGGACACCCACAGGATGAGGACATGTGTGCTTCTGGCATGATCTAAGGGTCTTCTTGGTCTGTGGGGAAGGATAAAGAGTTGTAACCGTCTCACTTCCCAGGCCTCTGTGGATATGAGGCATCTCTACCATGCTTAAAATGGGGACTTGGAGGTCTGTTTACTTTTGGGGTGGAAGCCAGTGGAGGAAGTAGGGTTGATGTCCCTAACATCAACCATGACAGGGACAGCCCTCCTTCCCCACTGGGCTGGGCGGGGGGCCCTTCATCCCTCAGCAGGAGTCAGAGAACCAGCTGGGGAGCTGAAAGTTTGGACAGAGGAACAGGAGGGAGCTCAGGCTGAGGCTTGGAAGGACATGGGGGCAGGCCAGGGAGGGGGGCTGGAAGGGTGAGGGACAGGACCTGCTCATGGGATGGGTCCACCCTCTCGATGGGAAATGGGGCAGCAGCGCCAGCAGCACCTCCTTGGAAGAAAATCAAGTCCCTAGCTGAGGATTTCCCCTTGGTCCCTTGGGCCTGTCCTCAACTCTTGGGTTGAGGCTGGAGCCTACCCTGCCATTATCCCAATGGGTAGGGGCAGAATGGTAGGTCCTGGTCCCCTGGCATGCCCAGTCACTGAGGACTCTCGGGATTAGACAATGTGTTTGATCAGCTTGGCTAAGGGCTTGCCTGTGGTCAGAGTGCTGGTCAGGGAAGGATCCCCATGCTGCATTTCCCCCCCACCCCCCCATCCGCTGCTGTGGTCGGGATGAACTCCACATCGGATGATTCGGGGCTAAAACTGCCTAGACTACCAGGTAAGGGCTTCAGAGTCAAAGCCTGGCCTGAGTGTAGGGGCTCAGCTGGAGCCAAGCCTGGTGGTCAGGGAGGATGGCCTCACGGAGGGCACTGACCTGGAGATCCCCCGGGCTGTGTAGCCCCAGGGCTGCCTACCGTGGTTTGTCAGCACCGTGACTGAAACTGGCGCAAACAGCTCTTCAGAGGCACTGCCCACTGCCTGCCGCCTGTTGCTTGCCACTTGGGAGAGACAACTGGGCTAAGAGGCTGGGCAAGGACGTGAGAAGGAGATTGGCTTCTGGGCTCAGAGAGAGGACACAGCCGCAGTCAGGGCCTAGGTGTGTGCTTCTTTGGAAGTCTGCAGGAACCTCTAGGTGAATAAGGTGATGGCCAGGTGGGGGCGCCAGAGTTGTGCGGGCCACCATGGAGTCTGCCATTTCAATTGCAGAATCCCATGCTAGGTCTGGGAGTCCTTCCAGAGAAGCCTGAGCCTGTCATAGAGATCTAGATCCTCCTACCTCCTGTGACAGACAAGAAGATGTCAGTTAGACCTGGGACCGGGGAGAGACAAGTTGAGGTGCTCATGGTGGCCTTGGAGGTGGTCTAGGGTTAAAGTGAGTTCTTTTCTGCTCCATCTCTAGAGCGGTGGGCATCATGGCCATCATGGCACAGCACCCTTGTGGCCATGAGATACCCTGGGCAGAACCTGGACAGTACAGGGGGTTGACCTTAGGTTGGACAGGGAGTCCCCAGGATCTATGCCCAGGAACTGCCAGAAGGGCCAACTGGACTCTTCCTGGCCTCCTGGATGTAGTTTAGAATTGCAGGGCGCCAGAGTGACTCACATGGACTGCCCCTTGGCTGGGAGGGACTTTTCGTGGGTCTTCTGTGTGACCAGTGTTCATGCCAATCTGTGTCACTCTGAAGAAAAGACACTTTGCTTCAAGTTTTTGGTCTCTCCTAGCCCTGTCCTAAGACGGGGGAACGAGCGCACTGTGCTGTACAGGGAGATAGAGGATGACATAAGAATGGCTGCCCTTGGGGAGAGAGGCACTGGGGTGCCCCCAAGTCAGGCCGCCTCTGCCCTGGCTTGATGACAGCCACTGGGTGTCATCTCATGGAGCTTTATTTTCTTTGCAACTAGCCGTGGCCACCTGGACAGTGAGGTAGGCATGAGGTTCATACCTCTCAAGGTGACTCAAAGAAGGGGTCCCTTACTATGATATGGACCCTCAGCATGGGCCTGGGTCAGCATCAGATGGGAGATCCACAGGCTGTGACAACTTTGCCTAAGTTTTTCCAGTGGAGAGAAATGATCTGAGTGTATTGTGGGCTCCTGTTCCCTTCCTATGGTTTTGGATGGAGCAGGGATCCAACTGTGCCTCTCCCCTTCTCCACTGGGTTTCCCAATGATTGAAGTAAGCACATGGCCCTACAAAGACGTGTGCTTCAGTGTTCCTGGCAGCTTTATATGTGATGCCCCCAAACTGCAAATAATACCCACAGCCCTCAGCTGATGAAAGGTGATCGATCAACTGTGGAAGGCGGCACAATTGTAATTAACACCCTGTGGCTATAGACGCCACCAACTGCTGGGACGTCAATTCACTGAGCTGAGTGAGAGCGTCCAGGCAGTCGGGACATGTACAGTATGGCTCCCCTTACAGACAGTGCAAACTGGTCTGCAGGGACTAAAAACGTCTGTAGTTTTGGAGGGCTATGGAAGCAGGTGAAAGGAAGGAATCCCCAAGAAAGCTTAAGGAATCTTTATAAAAAAACTTTTAGGCCGGGCATTGGTGGCGCACACCTTTAATCCCAGCACTCAGGAGGCAGAGGCAGGCAGATCTCTGTGAGTTTGAGGCCAGCCTGGTCTACAGAGTGAGTTCCAGGACAGGCACCAAAGCTACACAGTCTACCCTGTCTTGAAAAACAAAAACAAACAAGCAAAACTTCTTATGTTATGTGTATAGGTGTTTTGCCTGCATGTGTATCTGTGCACTGCTTGCATTCCTGGGGTCTTCAGAAGTCAGAAAGGGTATCGGATTCCCCAGGATTGGAGTCACAGGGAATTGTGAGCGGCCATGTGGATATTGGGAATCAAACAGGGGTCCTCTGGAAGAGCAGCCAGTGCTCTTAATTGCTGAGCCATCTCTCCAGCCCCAAGGAATCTTTTTAAATACTATTTGTCTTTATCTTTTATCTGAGTGTATGGGGGTAGAGGAATGGCTGAGAGACCCCGTTGGATCTTCTGTATCTGCAGTCACAGGTGGTCATGTGCCGCCTGACATGGTGCTGGGCATCAATTTCAGGTCCCCTGAAAGAGCAACAGATTCTCTTAACCACCGAGTCATCTCAACAGCCCCAGCTCAAGGGGCTTTTGTTTTTGTTGGTTGTTTTTTTTTTTTTTTTTTTTAGAGTCAAACACACTTTATTCAGAGGCTTGTGGGAAGGGTGGAGAGGTCCACGCTGTCTGCTGTCCTCCACCGGGCAGATCTTCGCCGTCGACCGGTCGCTAAGAGCTTGTTTTTTTAAAGATAGGGTCTTACTCTATAGCCCTGGCTGGCCTGAAACTCACTACCTACACCAGACTTGCCTTCAACTCACAGAGACCCACCTGCCTCTGCCTCCTGATCAAGGAATCTTCATGGAATGGCAGGCACACTCACTGTCTTTGTTGGGGTTTTATTGCTGTGAAGAGACACCATGACCACAGAAACACTTACAAAGGAAAACATTTAGCTGGGGCTCGCTTACAGTTCAGAGGTTTGGTCCATTATCATCATGACGGGAAGCATGGCGGCGTGCAGGCAGACATGGTGCTGGAGAGGTAGCTGAGAGTTCTTCATTCAGATCTGCAGACAGCAGGAAGAGAGAGACACTGGGCCTGGCTTGAGCTTCTGACACCTCAAAGGCCACCTCCTGTGACACACTTCCTCCAACAAGGCCACATCTACTCCAACAGGGCCACACCTACAATAATGTCATTCCCCACAAATCTGTGGGGGCCATGGGGTTCATTCAAACCACCACAGTCATCATCTCACTATCACAGTGATGGTTTCCTGGACACACACATGTATTATAACTTACCAAATATTTAAAAAGTCCTATAAAACCCAAACCCACCAAGATGGAGTCATGTCCCAGGGACTGCCACCAAGGCAGCCCAGAGGCAGTCTGAATTCTCCACTATGCTTTAGGCCACTGGCTACTTCTTCCTGCTTCCTTCTCCAGTGACAGGCACTAATGCCTTCCCTCTGGCCAATATTGAAACACTTTAAGCAACCCAGTGAATAAGAAAGTACAAAGTTACACGCCAAAGAACAAATACGGTCCTTGAGTCTACCCTGATGTAGATAAGCTAGGGAGCAGAAAAACACTGTGATACTGAAGAGGCCACCATATGACGATGCTGGCAGCCAGCAAGCCAGAGTGCCAGTCTCATTGGAAACGCAGCCTGCACACATCCAGGTCCTCCCAGAGGACAGTGAGACACGAGAGTGACCTTACAGACCCAGCACACATGCCTTGACTAGATGTGGCACTGCCGTGGCCGTTCTGGGAAGGACACTTCGCCTCTGCTGAAAGAATTTTTACCAGGAATTGGAGTAGGGGGAGACCAAGTAACATCTGCCCCCTAAGGTCCCAATGACAAACCGTGATTCCTGGCTCCCCCACCCCACCCCGGGGAACCAGTGAGTTTATTGGGCTTACCCACCGAGCCTGAGTGAGGGTTACTAACAGAAGTGGGAACCCAAAGCAGCCAGACTGGAAAGTCTGCGCCAGCGTGGGTCATAGCTTCTCCTGGTTGTGCGGATGTATTCCCCCTCCCCCACAGTCTTGCACTGCCCAGAGACCTGGGAGCCACGTCCAGATAGGAAAGAATTGTACACAGTTGGTTAGAAGGCGCGGCTAGACACTCAGGTAAGGGTCTGAAGACCCTTCCCCTCCCCTCTTCTATGATGGAAAGTCAACCATCAACAAGGCCGGCTGTGATGCTCTTTTGTAAGTGGGAGATGTGCAGGTGGGCCCCGAGGACCGCCCTGTACAGCAGCCTCCAAGGCCTTCCTACCAAACCACCGCCTAGTCACTAGGAAAACACCAACCAATCCCAATGGTGGGCCTTTCACAAAACACCTAACCAGCACTGCCCAATACCACCAAGGCTGAGAAAGAAGGAAACGTGGAAAGAACTCTCCCAGCCCAAGGACCACCAAGTAAAACCTCCTGTGGGGCCTGGATCAGACACTGAGCTGGGCAAACCCTTTACATGGGCTAGGAAATTTCGCTTTTTTGTTTTTGTGTTGGATGGACTCCAGGGCCTCATGCCAGCCAAGCACTCCGTTTTGATTAAACTATGAATTTTGATTAAGACATAAACTTTACAAGGTTTAGCATCTCAGTGTTCAATGTCGCTTAGCGCAGCCTCCGTAACTATGCTGGGGGTTACAACAGGAGAACCATGCACTTCCTGCCCCATAGGAGCACCAGCCCCCACATCTTCCCTACAAAATGTAACTGTTTGAAAATCAGAATGTGTGTTCGTATTGGTGTCACGTGTTGGTGTTGTGTATGCGGACACATGCCAAAAGACAACCTCAGGTGCTATCCAGCCCCCTGTTGTTGTTTCTATGGGGTTATTGTTATTGCTGTTTGAGACAAGGTCCCCCACTGGCCTGGAACTTGATGAGAAGGTGGGCTGGCCAGCCGGGCGCCTGTCTCCACCTCCCCAGCACTGAGATTGGAAACACACACAACTCCCAAACAAGAACTTTCACTGCCTCGGCTACCTTCGCAGCCCTGATATATGTATTTTTAGGTGTGTGTGTGTGTGTGTGTGTGTGTGTGTGTGTGTGTATGCATAATATTATATATAATATATATATTAAAAGACACTGTGTAGCCTAGGCTGCCCTTGAGCTTAACATCCTCCTGCCTCAGCCTTCTGAGTGCTGAGTTTCATTTTCACTTCCCTGAGCCTCATGGCTCCCTGGTCTCCTCTGAGCATCCCCTCATGGCTCCCTGGTCTCTGAGCTTCCCCTCATGGCTCCCTGGTCTCTGAGCATCCCCTCATGGTTCCCTGGTCTCTGAGCTTCCCCTCATGGCTCCCTGGTCTCTGAGCATCCCCTCATGGCTCCCTGGTCTCTGAGCTTTCCCTCATGGCTCCCTGGTCTCTGAGCATCCCACAGCAGCTCCTTCTCATTTCATGTGTGTGTATCTTCCTTTGCCTTTGCCTGTCTACAGAGAGCTTTACAATTCATGTTGTTGTTGATCTGTGATGGGTTTTACTGTTCTGCCCTTGCATGTGCCCGAGGCTGAGCTGCCAGGGTTCCTCTTGGTCTTGCTCTCCATGCTTTTCACAGGGTCAGTGACAACAGGGAGGCAGCCACCTCCCTGAAGCCCATTTCCAGGGCCCATTCTGGCCTAGAAAGGAGGGACACCTGGCGGACCCTCTTTCCAGGTTACCCCGTGGATGACCACCTCTTTCCCTGGGTACCACTGCAGCTTCCTGGATTACATATGGGAACCTTGCAGAACCTTAGCCACATGAGAAAGAGATTCATGGAACACACTGGGAGTAGGCGAGCCGCTCTCCCTGACCTCACCCCGCCACATCACGGGCTGGATACCAGACCCTTACCCGGGGCCAGAGCAGAACTCTCCAGTTTGAGCCTGTGACCCAGGCCTCCTGAAATGATCCCAAGTCCCTCATGAAAAGGCTCCAGAAAGTGAGGGACGAGGGCATTCAGAGGCAAGGCGAGGAACAGACATAGCCTAGGGGCCTGCAGGAGGAGGGCAGTACTGGGAAGGGTTTGGGCCCCCCAGGGTCTGTGCCCCCGAATTCACATGATCCCAGAGTACTGGGACTTGGACCACCAAGGGCTCTAGGCAGCATCTAAGCTGGTCATCAAGATCTTCTGAGATACTGCCCATCCCCGGGGGCACATTTCAGAACCAGGGTGATGGAATCCTAGCAACCACCTCTCCCAGGGGGGAAGTAGTCAAGAGGAGACTACTACGGTCCTCAGAGAGCCACCACAGCCGGAGGCTGGTGGCATCAGGCCCAGCTGAGGATGGATGAGGTCAGGAATGGGCAAAGCGCTGCAGAGGAGGCCGTAGCCCCGTGAATGTCCATGGCCCAGATTGGCCCTGGGGCCTGAGTAGGTGGCCCTGGGCCAGCTCTGGCACAGCACACTCTGTCCCTCTTTGCCTAGCCCAAAGAACAATTCAATCTGCTCCCAGGCAGGGGGTGGGAGTGGGTGCAGAGTTGTGGCCAACGGACCAGGACAAGTGTGGGTGGATTCTGGGGTGGCCACTTATGCTGGGCACACAGTGGATCCTGAGAGGTATCTGCTGTCATCTGCCCGGATTTGAGCTGTAATCTCTGTTGGTTTTCATGCACAGTGCAGGGCACCGAGAGCGTAGGAGGTGGGCAATGGGGCAGGAAGTGCTGGGGGAGGTGTTCGTGGGATAGAGCGCTGCCTTAGAGTGTGAGCTGGCTCAATTGTGAGGAAGCCATAAGGGCATAATCTTTCCCCTCTTGGATGTGGAGACGAGCTACCCACTTTGGGACAGGGCTACTGTAAGCTCAGTGACAGCCCCGAACCCAACACCTCACTTCCTCCTCCAGGCCGCTGATACCCAGGACTCCACTGCCTAGGATCGGCCTCCTCCACCCAGATGGAGCTCCTGTGGATAGGTCTCACCTTGCTGGAGATGATGCAAACCCAGGCCCAAGGCCCAAGAAGGCACGGGGGGCTCCCTCAAGTCCCACACCCCAATTTGCCTTTTCACAAGATCTGTCTCCTGCCCAGCCAGGGGAAGGAGACAGTGACCGTGAATTCAGGTCGAGCAGGCCCTGTTCCCATGGGTAGGAGCCTGGATCGGAGAGCTCAGCCCAATGCCAACCCTACACAGACTTCATATTCTCCTGTGGCCCTCGGGACCCTCCAGGTGGGGACAACTCTCTGTGCGTGTGGAGAAACTGAGGCTTTGAGAGTCGTTGGGTCTTTCTTAGATCCAGGATCATCGGTGCAGATATGGCTTGGTGCCACATATGGGATAAAGGGGGCTGGCTCTGTCTGTCACTAGTCCCACAGTTTGAGGGAAAGTGGTCCATCCTCAGCTTGGTGGGTCACACCGTCAGGAGGGAAGATGGGGTCCTGTTCCAGTTATGGGTGACAACCTTCGAGCTCAGGGGCAACCAGTTTGTCACTATGTCTGTCCCACTCAGGTGAGACTAAGTTCCCAGAGCCCCTGCCACGTGAGGGTAAACTGTGAGTAGGGCTAGCAGATTTGAAAGGTCCATGGAGGAGCGGGAGGCGGCGGCTGAAAACCTACCCTTGCCCTTCCTGTGGATCTAGCTTCTAGTGCTCGCCCTGAACCCCACTATTTCCTCTTAGACCCCCTCTTGCTGGGGTCTATCCGTGCCCAGGTCCCACTGGCTCCAATGTCCTCTCATTTCTCTGCTTCTCTTCCTTCCTTCTCTTCCTTAGGCCAGAAGACCAACCATCAGACTTGGCTGACCATGGCAGACCCGGCCCTCACCACATCCCAGCGAGACTTGTGGCCCTCCTCCCAGGCGTTCAGCCTCATCCACCCCCAGCACAAATAAACGCTTGTCACAGAGGAATGGGCTGGCTGTCCATGATTGTTGTCATGAGGAATGTGAGCCAGGCTGGTGGGGTAGAGCCAGCTCTACCACCTCAGAGTGCCAGACCTGTGCAGAAGCTAGAGTGTCTGATTTGGGGGCTGTGATGTCCGCGGGGACACTTGTCCCCATTTCCTCTCTGCCATGGGCCTACCTCCCCTCCTTAGTCTCAGAGAAACAGAGACAGCCTTGTACTTACACAGCACACGGCCCCTGTCTGGGGAGCAGGGAGCATGACCCCAGGGGCCTCCTGGGTGCTGAAGCCCAGATCCCAGATGGGACTGTGAAGGAGGCACCCAAGCACAATGCCTCAGAGCATGGTAACCAGAACTCCTTTCTAGGTACCCTCTACAGCCTTGCTCAGAGGCTGTGGACCAGTTTCCTGGGTCATCTTAGACCCCAGAGTGAAAGGCAGGGCCCTGTCTTGGAGCTGCACTTAGATTAAGATCCAGGTACACCTTTAGTTCTAGAACTCAGGAGGCAGATATCTGTGAGTTCAAGGCCAGCCTGATCTACATAGAGTTTCAGGCCATCTACGGTTATACAGTGAGACCCTGTCTCAAAGTGGAAAAAAAAAAAGAAAGAAAGAAAGAAAGAAAGAAAGAAAGAAAGAAAGAAAGAAAGAAAGAAAGAAAGAAAGGAAGGAAGGAAGGAAGAAAGGAAGGAAGAAAGGAAGGAAGAAAAAGAGAAAGAAAGGAAGGAAGGAGAGAAAGAAAGAAAGAAAGAAGGAAGGAAGGAAGGAAGGAAGGAAGGAAGGAAGGAAGAAGGAAGGAAAGAAAGAAGGAAACAAAGAAACAAAGAAAGAAAGGGAGAACCAGGTCCTGTGGCTGTTATAAAAACACAGATGGGAGCCAGGAGATGCTGAAGGCCCTGCCATCCAGCCTGGCCCGGGAGACCGAGCCTGGCTCTGGAGGAGCAAGGCATTCTCTGTTCTGCCTGGCTCTACAGGGACACGAGGCCCCTCCAAGGACAGTGCTGAGGAAACTGTAGCCCCCCTAGCCTTGCCTTGTTCAGCCCACCCACTCTCAATCCATGACTGCAGGCTGCTTCTGGAAGCCAGATCAGGCCTTGGAGATCTGTAGCACCATCCACTCCACTATCCCAGCACTGATGGTCCCACTGTTGGAGAGTGTGAGGATGTAGCGGCTGAGAGCGGGCCAGGCCCTCCCGCAGCTCAGCTGCCCTCTGGGCACCCCATCGTAAGAGTAGAGCGGGTAGAGGTGGTCCCACCAGATTCTCTGTCTTCCAGCAGCTGCCTGCCCAGACTCAATTTCCCAAGCAGCAGTTGGCCTGTCCATCCTGGGACCCTTCTGGGGTCTGGTTGACATATGCACAAGAGACTCAAATCCAGGGACTGATCTTATCCCAACCTCCTGCCTGCTTCCTCTTTGATCCTGGTCCCCCCACCCTACTGAGCTGGGAAAGGAACCCTAGAAATGTGGGCAGAGAGATGCAGCCATGTCCAAAATCAGCAGAGGTGAACCCAACAGCTGCAGAAACCAGCTGGGGGAAGAGCAGACGGTGGGCTTGGATGGAACTCAGAGACAGCACAGTGAACTGCCTGCACAGCTTGGTTAATGGGCACAGCCCTTTACATAGAGTGCCTGAACTAGAATGTAACCTCCACACAGGCCCTGCTTTTCTCATGTCACAGACTAGGGTACTACACAAAGGTCAACTTTCAGAGTCCAAAATATTCCACTCAGCTGCTTCTCAGTGGCCTAGGGCAATGACATTCTTCATTACGGCCCTTTGAGGGACATTTCTGAGAAGGGCTGTGAGACCTGACAGGCCTGAGAAGGTGGGGGGTCTAGGTCTCCCAAAGCCACTCTCCGCACGCTTCCCACACAGAGAAGCTATGCTCAGGCATCAGGTTGGAGTCAGGTGACCCCGGTGAATTCCAGGCCAAAGCTGGGGACTCAGGGACTTACTCCACCCATGCTGTCACGCGGCCAACAGTCACTCGGCTAGCTCAGGTCTGACCAGGCCTTGAGGATAAGCTATGTCTGGAGATGTCAGAGAACTAGCCTCCCACCCAGGGGACTGACTACCCCCGGAGAGGAATCTGCTTCCCATAGGACAAGGCTGGGACTGTTCCTCGGGCCTTTCAAGGCTAGGTCCAAGAGGTGTCCCCCCCCCCACCCCGTGCTCAGAGCCAGGCCTCACCCCCGGCCAAGCAGCTCCATCTGCAGTTCATGCACTGATTCAGGGTCTCAGCACTCAGGTTGGCCTGAGTGCTGCAATGAGGCCTGGAGAAGGGAGAGGTAGGCCCAAGACCAGGTGGGGCAGGGGCCTCCAGGCCAGTCCACCCCGATCCCTTGATATCTAACTCAGTGTCCTCATGCAGCCCAATTTCTGTGACATTTTGTAAGGATGAAAGGGAAGCCAGAGTCAGGCTGTGGGGAGGCAGCAGGTCCAAGGCCCCACTTCAGCCGACAGAGTCCCTTACTTACTGCAAAAAGTCCCCATAGTCTAGTAGGCCCACATTTAACAAGCCTCCCAAGAACTCCTGCAAGGCAGGAATACCTCCCCTCCTTTTGCACAGATGGGGAAACTGAGGCACATAAAGGCTGGACATTGGCCTGGGAGACCTTGCCAGACCCAGGAAGGCCTCTGTGTCCTGTTTGCATGGTCTACTCCTGCCTCAGAGGAGGCAGCATGTTCAGGCAGGAGGGGATTCTGGGTGATCCCAGGTTCTAACACTCAATCATCCTACAGTTCATGGGAAGTAGATGCCCTCAAACCGGTAAGAACTTAGAGGAAAAGACCTCAGCGACAGGGCTGGCGCCTGGGAGCATGTGGAAGCTGAAGCTGGGCCACTCAGGGTCTTGCTCCACAGTGTTGGCTGAATTCTGGCATGCTGTGTATTCTTACGATAGTTTGTGTGAACCTGTTTCCTAGGCCCTCACAGGACACTAACGAAAACGGACAATGTGGTCCTCAATATAGGACGGTTAGAGCAGGGAGGAGGGACCCCAGAACATTCAAAACCCCTCTAAGCTTCCTGGAAGGCTTCCTGGAGGTGTGATCAGGCTTTTCCTGAGAGGGTACAGGGGGCAGGCGGTGATGCAGACATGCCCTGGGAGATGAGACCAGGAACTCACAGACAGGAGGCAGGGCCAGAGGAGGACTTGAAAAGGCCATTGCTTAGCCGGGCGGTGGTGGCGCACGCCTTTAATCCCAGCACTCGGGAGGCAGAGCCAGGCGGATCTCTGTGAGTTCGAGGCCAGCCTGGGCTACCAAGTGAGTTCCAGGAAAAGGCGCAAAGCTACACAGAGAAACCCTGTCTCGAAAAACAAAAAAACAAAACAACAACAAAAAAAAAAAAAAAAAAAAAAAAAAAAAAAAAAAAAAAAAAAAAAAAAGAAAAGAGAAAAGGCCATTGGTATCCTGTTCCTTGTGACTCCGGGCAGACTGGGACAAGGCACTTCGGGGACAAGAAGCTAGGTAGGGGAGAAGCTTCCTACTGTGGTGGGGGTTGGGAAGGCTATGGGCATCACAAGCTTGGCCCTCCAGGGACGGCCCAGGACCGTACCTGGTGCATCCTGGGCTCCAGAGCCTGAGTGCTGTCCCTTCTCACTCACACCCCCTGTTCCCCTGGGATCAGCACTGTGTCCCAGTTTCCAGCTGGCCAGTCCAGCCTCAGCAGCATTGCGGATGGGTGCGGAGCAAGGTGGGGTCCTGGACTGGCCTGGGAAGAGGTCTTCCCAGAAGGGGCACGCAGGAGTGCTTGGTCAGAGAGAGGTCCATACCAGTTTGGAAATGAGGCAGCCCCTACCTCCCCAGGCAGGGCTGACTTCATAGGTAGAACGGCCACGGCCACCAAGTGCCAGCCGGAGGGCCATGGTGTCCTTCCGAGAGTTAGTTGCTTTGTTATCACTAAGACCACAGTATCTGGGCAGAAACAACTAGGGGAGAAGGGTTTATTTTGAGGCATGGAACCAGGCATGACAGAGAGAGAAAGCAGCAGGATCAGGGACCTTCAAAGGCCCTTCTCAGTGACCCACTTCCACCAGCTAGACCACACCTCCTAAGGTTCCACAGATCCCCAAATAGCACCTGCCACCAGCAGAGGAGCAAGCCTTTAAAACATAAGCCTGCTGGGGACCTTTCGGATTCAAGCCATAGGAAGGTCCCACCCTTGGAAGTACTTCAAGATTACTCTGCTTGGCGGGGGGTGGGGGTGTGTGTCTTCATCCCATCTACAGGAAGCCCCTAAACAGGTTGATGCACCCAGGCCTTCTTCTCAAGTTCTTCCTGTCTCCATCCTCAGTCCCTCTAGAGAAAACTCTCAGATCTGCTGCTGGGCCAGGCTGGGGCCTGGGGACTGGATGGTCCAGGAGTCAGCCTCCCCCTACTTATTCTGACAGATCCTCCCTCCTTAGGCCCAGGGCATGGATGGACCTGGAGGGGCAAAGTATGGGCTGTCCTGGGCCGGAGCTGATGGGAGGCTGAGTGAAGAACTGGACTCTTGGGCTCCTCTGGGCAGTTCTGGGATCTATCCTGCTTCCTCACCTGGAGCTCTGTTGGGCCAATTCCTGTAGCCCTAACATTAGTGAGAGAGTAATTACCTCCTCGCATAGCCCGCTCAGATGTTAATGTTAGAAAATCCTCTGCCTCAGAACCCAAAGCCACAGGGAAGGAGAGAAGGGACGTGCCAGCCCTCTCTTCCATGGCCATTGGCTTCCCATCCAGGGTCAAGGCCATGGGAGCCAGGAAAAAGCCACAGACCGCAGTCACCTACAGCAGCTTGAAGTCCACCGCTCTGCCCACCACTGCTTGCTTGCCCTAAGGGAGCCCAAAGGACCACCAGGTGAACCCCAGTGGGCTGACCAGGGTGGAGGCTGTACTCAGCGCGGCTGAGTTTGGAATTCACTGCAGGATAGATTGAGTTTCTTTACTTGGTTCCTCGTGGCCACCTGGACTGCTGGCCTTTCGGGACCAAAAGTTCAAGGCACAAACGGTGCTTTGTGTTAAACCCTGCTGGGGTCATGGGACTTGGAGAGGACGATAGATAGGGCTTGTGAGGGGAAGGTCTTAGCCCCAGGTGGGGAGTGACTGGCTTTCCCAGCAGCACTGAAGTAACCTCCAGGGCCATCCCTGCTGCTGAGGTATGTGGGCTTTGACGGAGGGGGGCAAGGTCTGGGCCAGTTCTGTCTCTGGAGCTAGGGTGGAGAGCGGGGGTATGCAGAGCTCTCTGCCTGCCCTGACCCGTCCTTTCCTCACTGAGGTGTGGGGCTCAGCTGGAAGCTCTTACATAACCAGCCCTGTTGCTGATGAGGCTGCGGCTGGGACAGCCACCCTCCCTCGCATGAGCATCACGAGTCTCCAGTGGGCAGTCCTTGGGCCTTGGGTGGAGGCCAAGCCTGGCTCATAAATAGGGGTCTCCACAGTGCCCTCTGCTCCTTCTGCCCACGATCTTCCTTGCTCTGCCCACATTGCTGGCCTCAGGCCCAGACACCTGCTCCGGTCCAGGGAAATGACTGCCCTTCGAATGCTGTGGATGGGGCTGGTCCTGCTGGGGCTCTTGGGATTCCCACAGACTCTAGCCCAGGGTGAGGGCCATGTCTCGGTACAGCCCAACTTTCAACAAGGAAAGGTGAGGTTCCCCCTACCCCACCCCCAAGACAGCACAGCCCTCAGGTCAATGAGCCTGGCTTTCTCCCACAGAAGAGCTTGCTTGTTCCTCAGAGCCTCTGCTAGCCTGAGGCCTGAGCCAGCTGAGAGGAAAGGAGGGCTGCCCGGTTGCCTAGGCCTGAAAAGAAGCCCTCCTAAGCCACAGTATTCCGTCCAATCTCTCCTCAGAGGGCACTTGCACACATGTGGGCCACATAGTGTTCATGTCTTCCAAACACAGTCCCCTGTAAGCCCAAGACACCCGGGACATGGACAAGCACGGGTCATATATCTGGGTCCCAGGATGACTGGGCACTGGCCAGCACTTATCCAATGAGGTCCTGGATGTGCTGGGCACTGCTCGTCCTGTATGCTCCTGCACTGGAGCTGGCTGGGACCCCACTGGCACACCCCCTGGTTGGTCCACCTGACTCCTCCAGGAATGTGGCATGCTCTGATACCCACTCCACCCACTAGGGGACAAAGATGAGGACCTCAACGTCCTGGGGAAGAGGGGAGGGTCTTTGCTACCCCCCCCTTCCTCCATGGAGCCTGCTAGAGAGGGGGGAGACGTGGATGGGCATAGCCCAAGGAAAGGGTGGCACTGGGACCAGTGTAGCAGGGGAGTCGGAGGGGAAAGAACCAGAAGCCCCCCGAGTCTGCCCATGAGGGGAGCATGGAGCATTGCCAACCTAGGCATCCACTGGTCGCAGTTCCTGGGGCCCTGGTACGTCGTAGCCCTCGCCTCCAATTCAACCTGGTTCCGGGATAAGAGAACAGGAATGTTTATGTGCAAGTCAGTGCTAGCTCCCTCCACAGACGGCGGCAGCCTCAACCTCACCTCTATCTTCCTCAGGTGAGACAATGGGGTGCGGCCAGTTCTGGGGCCCAGAAGTCCCCGTATCATTGTCAGGGGACATCTTGGGGCTTGTTTCCTTACTTCAAGGGTGTTCTGCCCACAGGAGAAACCAGTGTGAAACCAAGATCATGATACTGCAGCCTGGGAAGGTTCCCGGACAGTTCAACTACCGCAGTCCCCGTGAGTAAACCACTTCCTGATCTGGGTCAGTTCCGAGGTCCCTGCCGGCAGACTGGACCACCCCGTCCCAAAACTGTGGAGATAATGGTCACAGCACCAGGGTCAGTCATCCAAGGACAAACCTGGTTGTGAATCTGCCTCAGGCACGTAGGACGTAGGTGTTGGAGACAGACCTCTCTCTGGGGGCTGTGTCCTCTCTGAAGCCCACCCATGTTCTGCCAGGCCCCTTTCCTGCCCAAATGGACTTTTCCAGTTCTCTGCTGCCCAAGGGGGTTACTCACCGGCATCCCCCGAATCCTACCACACTTCAGTAGTCCCTACCCAAGGACCTCTCTCCTCCATCCCTCACCTGAGATATGGCTCCCCACAAGAACCCTATTTCCAACCAGGCAGTAGTGGTGCACGCCTTTAATCCCAGCACTTGGAAGGCAGAGCCAGGAAGATCTCTGTGAGTTTGAGGCCAGCCTGGTCTACAGAGCGAGATCCAAGACAGGCACCAAAACTATACAGAGAAACCCTATCTTGAAAAACCAAAGGGAAAAAAAAAAACACCCAAAAAACAATAACAACAAATCCTATTTCCTTCTCCTTCTGCCTGCATTGTAACCCAGCCTGCGATTTTCTGAACCTAAGTGTTTTCTGCCTTCTCCCCAAGACTTGGGGTTTGGGGACAGTGTTCCTGGGCTGGGCAGGCAGGAAGCCAGAAACTGGCAGGTGGTCCCTGAGGGAGGGCCGAGGATGGCAGCCAAAGTGATGCTGGGAGCCAAAGGCCTGAGGCCCTCCCTACAGTGACGCCCTCAGAGGTCACCCCTTCCCCATAGAGGAGGACAGAATTGTGGGAGCTGTGTATCCCCCATCAGTGTCATCTCTTGGGTTCCCAGACTCCGGCAATACCCAAGCCATCTCCGTGGTGGAAACCAACTACAACGAGTATGCACTGCTGCTCAGCACGGGCACCAAGGGCATGGGCCAGCCCTTCCGCATGACCAGCCTCTACAGTGGGTATCACACCCCACCAGGCCTCCACCCAGGGGAGACCCCTTAGAAGCTTGAGGTTGGAAGAAGCCGGAGACCTGATCCTGGGTGGGAGGGGAAGGGTGTACCAAAGGGGCGGTCCCCAAGACACAGTGCGGGGCAGAATGGAGGCTTTTTTTTGTCCCCTGAGGCTGGTTCCTTCTTTATCTACCAGGCCGAACCCAGACCATAAAGGACGAACTAAAGAAGAAATTCACCACCTTTAGCCATGACTACGGCCTCACAGAGGAAGACATTGTTTTCCTGCCCCAACCGGGTGAGGGAGGCTAAGCTGCGGGGGAGGGAAAGGGAATTATAGTTGGATTAGAGCTGGACAGCCCTCCCATTGCAGCGGGGGCGGGGGGGGGTGCGCGGGGAGACTGGGGAGAGCGTGGCCCTTGCCCTACCTACTAGCCCAGGGGACTCCAAGGAAATAAACAGAGGTGTCAGTCTGTCCCTTTATTTCAGCCCCCTTTATTGGGAAACCCCTTCCTGGTGGACTCCTAGCACCCCTGTCTGTGAGCCCCCAGCTAGAGGTTTAGGGGTGCTACTGGAAAAAACAGACGGAGAAAGACCACCCCTTCTGTTTTGAAGAAGAGACTGGAGGAGGGTTGGGATGGAGTCTGAAGTTTAGGGGCTCGACACAAGCTAATACCCCATAGCCTTGGGGGAGGTTTCTCGGAGGCGAGAGAGCCGGACAAAGCTCTGACGAATATGGCTCTAAGCCTGCTCCTGACTACGTCCCTGGGCTTCCTTCTCGGCAGATAAGTGCATTTAAAAGTGAGAACAGGTGAGAGAGGCCAGTGGGCTGCGTTCACTTGGTAAGTGCTGCCCTGTTCATTTACTCACACAACACATCACCACTGAGTGTGGGGGGGACTCTGCTCCCCAGACAGAACCAGGCCCAGGCGAGACAGCCAAGGAGGAAAGTCACAGTTCCAATTCCAAGGGCTGGAACGGGGCTGATGGCCACGGGCTCCTGGGGAGAGGGATAATGGTGTGGGCGACTAGTCCCAGACCGAATGAGGAGGGACTTCCCCGGGTCCCCAAGGAACCAGAATGCGCAAAATCAGGGAGGGGAATGGCAAGGGATGGAAATGGGAAGTTGGAGGGCTCTTCCCTAGTGCCATTGACTGAGACTTTGGGACCAAAGACTCTGGGGGAATCCTTCAGAAAGAGGCCCTTGCCAGAGCACAGTTTGGGCTCCATGGGGCCAAGGGTGTTGCCTGTGTCACTGACGGATCCCGTTCTTCTGTCCAGGTGATCTGGCCCTCAGGACTCCTTCTGTCACTTTCGAGACCACAGCCCTGGCTCCCCAAAGTGCTTCTACACCCTGCAGCTTTGTCTTGATTAAGAAATAAAGTCCAAAGCAAATCAGATCTTGACTCTTGTCTGTCTGTCCCCTGGGCCGCCCCTTGCCCCTCCCGTAAATATCTCAATATGATAACAAGAGGGGTGTCTGTTCTTGCTGAAGTCCTAACTAGGAACAGCCTAAGGGCTATGCTGGATTTGGCACCCACCCTGCATGGGGTTCTAACCTCACCACATGCCCCAACCCCTCTAGCCACAGCCCCTTCAAGCTGCTGACCACAACCAGGCCTGGGCTGGGCTGGTGAAAGTTAGTCATTTAATAGCTAATCCCTTAGACATGTGTCCACCCCTGCCCTGACAGTAGCCACACAAGGAGGAAGAGACTCCAGGGAGCCTCACATCCCATAACCTTTCAAGGCGTGGGATTAGAACCTTTGGATTGGGCAGTAAGCTGAGGGACAAAAAGGAGCTATTTGGTCGGGTGGTGGTGGTGCACACCTTTAAACCCTGTACCCAGCACTCAGGAGACAGAGGCAGGCAGATCTCAGTGAGTTCAAGGCCAGCCTGGTCTGTAAAGAGAGTTCCAGGGCAGCCAGGGCTGTTACACAGAGAAACATGGTCTCAAAAAGCCAAAAAAGAAAAAAAGAAAAAGAAAAAGAAAAAAAGGAGCTGTATGTATAATGGCTGCTAGAAGAGCATCTGTGCTGCCATGGACAGAGCGGGCCGAAGAGAGCCTACCAACCTGTACGTCTGCCTACTCCGGCCCCTCAGGAGGGAGTGTAGAAGCAACCGAGTCAGGTGCAATTCCACAATTCCATCAGTGGCCTATCCCAGTGGGTTGTGTCCTAGGACAGGACAGGCATCTCAGGGCATCTTGGGAACATGGAGTCCACTCAGAGGAAGCCACCCCGGCTCTTCTGACCGGAGGATCCTCCACAATGCTGTAGGCTCTGTGGGTTAGTCTCTAGGCTGGGCTCAGATCCATCCAGGACAACGTTGTCTCTCACACCCATCTCACCTGCTTGTTTCTCCATCCCAGGCTTCTGTCTACACATTCTTTCATTCCAGCTTATCAGGGCCTTGGACTTCAAGAAAGACCTCCATCCACTTGCTGCATTGGACCAGGAGTGGGCTTTCAAGTATGAGTACACCGTCCAGAACCAGCAGTTGGAATACGTTGCCTCAGTTTCCCAGCACTGGGCTGGGGTTGATCTAGGTACAGAAGTTGCTGGTGCTGGACACTGAGCCTCGGCAGGGAAGCATCCTGGTGAGATGAGATAAGGATCTTATCTCTCTGTATCTTACAGGATGTAGAGGTTTCCATGCAGCTCGCCTGCCCTACCCTGCAGTTCAGGGCACCTGGTACATAGTTGGGGCTGTGTCAGATGACCAGGGCTTCCAGGACCCCAAGGAAGACGGGGAGATGCACATGGACCTTGCCCGATGGTGACCTGGCTGTCAAGCTTGGGTATCCCACATAAGTGATCCTATGAACCTCACCTTCAGTGTGGCCTCATCCAAGTGTGCAGGAAATGAAGGTCAGGGAGAAGCAGCTCTGTCCCTGACATACCGGAAGTGCAGCCCAGAGGCTCCTGACAGCCTGGGCACAAATAAAGGCCACAGAAACCTGCTCTCCAAAGGACCTCAGGCCACACCAAATCCTGCCTGAGGCCTGAGTGAGGAAACAGGGTCTGAATGTCTGTGTGTGTGTGCCTGCAGAGGAGGCTAGGGATTTGGCACTCTGTGGATGTGTGGTGTGCCTTGGCAACCCCTCCTTAACTCCCCACCCCAACAGGCCTTTCCTGTCCCGTAAGATGTCCTTGGACTTTGTGAAGGCCAATAGGAGACCCTGTGACAGCTTTGTATGGGCAGTGTCCTCAGATCCTTGGGGTTAGGGCTGCCTGAAAAAGCAGGGCAGATCTCGGGGTGGAGCACCATCAAGGTCCACCACCCAGGTGTCAGGTGTGGACTTTTTCCTCCCCGGGCCAGATGTCGAATGCCAGGAGTTAGAAACAACCTTCACCAAGGGTGCTATGGCCAGGTAGTTCATCGACCTGGGTGAGGAGGTGGACGGCCAGCAGTGCCGTTCTGCAGCAGGGAAAGAAGTGGGGGCGGGGTACCTCATTATGTGAGCTGCAGGATTGGCAAAGGGGGCAAGCCTTCCTGAGTGGAGTGTCCCAGGGGTGGCTTCCATATTGTGGATCTTCCTAGGTGGGCCTCCTTGAGTCCTGGTCCCAAGCCACCTCTCACTCTTAGCCATGGCCTAGAGCAACATTCATGTGCCCTTCATGTACTACAGCACTTGGCTGTGTTATACTTCAGGACGGAGAAGTGAGGCATTCAGAATGCCTGGCAGCAGCACTATCGTGGGTTGGCAGAGGGGCTGGTCCTGATGACCCGTGGGACCAGACACAGGCCCCTCCCCAGAGCAGTGGCCCCAGTCTGGAGTACCGCCCAGGTTCACATCTCATCACTCGCCCACTCACAGAGAGAGAAACTTTGTTTCTCAATGTGTCTTCTTGGGACCTCCAGAGTCTGGAGCAGGGGGCCCAGACTGCACAAACCCTACCTCATCTTTGTCCCTGCCCATCTGTGCTCAAGACCTTCCTTGCCTGCCCTCAGTCCGCACCCCATAGATGTTTCCTGAAGGTGCATAGGCTGGCAAGCCAAGTGGGCCTGCACCCCAGCTAGGGTGCCCTGCTGCCTACATCAGGTGAGTGCTGCCTCCAACCCAGCTCAGGATGGCAGGAGCCAGGACACTGAAGATCCAGACTGCAGAGACCCACAGAGGTTTCTTAGTGAGAACTTACTCAGGGTCCAAGAATCTGAGCTTGCTTTACCCAGCAGGGGATGATTACCAGGGTTTGGTAACACGGTTGTGGTTACCAGATGTTTGAAAGGGTCTACACTTGGCTATGAGGCTAGGCGATGTGCTTTGATCTAGCAAGGGGGAAGTCTTTGCCCCGCCCCTTGGTGTTAGAAAAAGTCCTTTTGAAGATTGAGAAGGGACCATTGGGTTTTGATCCTCCCGAAGCTATCCTGTGTTTCTGTCTGTCTCCTCCGCTATCTATCTATAAGTTTCTTATCTCTCTCTCCTCCTTATAGGAACCCTTTGAAAGGTGGGAGCTGGCCTCCCACACCAGACTGGTCACATAAACCCAGAGTCACCCTACAGTCTGCAAACCAGGACGGAAGTCCCAGAGGACAGACACGCTTTGACTGTCTAGGCCAGGTGAGAGGAGAGAATGTCCAGGTCAGTCCATGCAGGAGACTATCATTAGCTGAGGTGCAGGACTAAGGGAAGAAGAGGCAAAGGTGTGCATGAGACCTGCTTTCTCAACAGATCGCTCTATTGGCGCACTGGCATAGATAGGTGAATACCCTTGGAGATCCCTCCCAAAGCCCCACCCCAACCCCAACTGCAATGGGGGTGGCCTCTGGTATGGAGAAGGCAGGGAAGCCTGGTCACCACAGCTCCAAGCAGTCCCCCTAGCCCACTACACCCTCACCCCACTTTTAGCAATGCTTGGGGACTGGCTCCACCCTCCCCTTGTTTTGCAGTGATGGATCCAGACATCCAGAGGTTGGGATTGAGCTGCCTATGTGCTGGCTCTTCCCCCGAAGAGCTGCTGGTTTCTCTGTACAGCTCCCCAAGCTGACAGAAGCACAGGGGAAGGCAGAGAGTGGGGGGTGGGTGGCAGGGACTCCGACCACGTGAGCTGAGTCCCTCAGGACAGTTCCTGCAGGGTTGGGTGCAGTTAATGCACCCTGGGTGCTGGGAGAGAGCGGGACCCTGGTTCTGCAGGAGGAAGACCCAAACGTGCCTGAGGATCCTTCTTGGATCCTGTAGACCCCAGGACCCCATTTGAGAGCAAAGTGCTGCTGACTTAGCTGCCCAGAAGCTCCTGGCTGGGGACAGCAATTACACGCGGCAAGGCGTACCCCACGCTGCCCATGTGTGCCCTGGGCCCTGGGGGCCGCTGTAGACAGGCTCAGCCTGCAAGTATCTCAAAATATAAGGCTGCTGAGATGTCTCAGAAGGTAAAGGTACTTGCTGCTAAGTCTTATGACCTGAGTTTGAGTCCTGGGACCCAAGGGTGGAGGAAGAAAACTAAGTCGTACAAGTTGCCCTCTGACCTCCACATTTGCTCCGTGGCACACACTAAAATCCATAATGTAAAACAATAATAATAAGGGCAATGATTGAGGAAGGCAGCAAATATATATTGACCTCTGACCTCTGCTTGCATGTGCGCACATGTGTACTTGCACATGCATGTGCACACTTGAATTTGTACAACACACACACACACAAAGGTAAGAGTGCTACTGCCGTGTTTGTACAGGACAGTGTGGTCTTACTCATTTAATCTGTGTGTGTGTGTGTGTGTGTGTGTGTGTGTGTGTGTGTGTGTGTGTGCTGGGGCCCTGTTGTCTATCCAAGCCAACCAGGTCCCTGAGATCCTCTGGCTTCGGCCTTCCTAACGGGCTTTACAAGTGTGTTCCACTCTGCCCAGCAGCACCATTGTCTTGAAAAGACAAAATGGTCCTGAAATTGTTGAGGGCAAAGGTCAATGCTGTCTGTAATGTAACTGTTCTGGAAAATTTAATAAAATTAAATTAAATTTTAAAAAATACTGATTGTGAATTTGTCAAAATGTTGATCATTTTCCCATCTGGGGCTCATTATGCTATTGTTGCTGCTTTCTAGTTGCTTTGAAATTTTTCAGTAAAAAAAAAAAGAAATTCCTGTCTTTCCAGACTACTTTTCTTGATTGGGGCTGATTGGGCTGTGAGGTCCACAGAGAAAAGAAGTACACACATACACACACACACACACACACACACACACACACACACACACACACACACCTTTGTGCATGTACCCCAGTGGTCAGCCAGCCCCTTTAATGCCCCAGTACCTTCTGGTCTCCAGGACTTGGCCAATGGTGAGCCCTGTCACTAATTTGAAGGCTTGGGGTCTGGACAGTGGCGAAGATCCTACCAAGCTGGAAGTCCTGCTCCCGTCTGCTCCCGTGGCCACGGCGGTGCCGGCAAGGCTTGGG